TCTTTAAAAACAAAAGGAAGAGAAATCAACAAAAAACCTTCAAAAAGTCACAAGTGCACCTAACATAGATTTCTCAGCTTTCAGCAAGGTCTGACTTCTTATGACCTAGTTTAATGCACCCGACACAGTTTGTGAGCCTCCAAAGGGCCAGGCATTATTCTGCTAATAGAGTCATGCAGGCAGCCTGCCTGGCTGAGCCCAGCTGCACTGCTGGTGGGACTTGGGGGCAGGTTGTTAGATATTTGTTTTGTATTTTGGGGGCCCCCTGTCATTGGGGGCCCTGTGCCACCGCACGGTTTGCTTCATGGTAAATCCGCTCCTGGGTGTGGGGCAGAACTGTTGGGGGGGGGAATGGGCTGGTGGGGGCAGAGCTGGTGGGGGTGGGCAGGTCCGGGATGCTGGTGGGGGCAGAGCTGAAGTGAGGTCTGGGCAGATGGGGGTTGCGTAATTGTTGGACTGTGGGAGGGGCTGAGGAGGGGCACAGATTAACTTGGGAGCTGGGCGCGCAGCACCGAGGCAGCAGGGTCCTAGCCCGGCTCCTCCAGGACAAGCAAGCCGTCCTACCGACTATTGCCCAGTTTGCTCTGGGTGTGGTAGGAAACCCCCGACCTGGCACCCAGAGTTCCCTGCCCGTGCTGAGGCCAATGTGCCGCTGCTTGTGGATTTTAGGGAGGGACCAAAACCAGGTTTGTAATGGCAGCTGGTTGCCCCATGACTCTGGGGATGGGGGAGGGCACTGCGGCCCCAGTGTAACCTCTCCTGTTTCTGAGTGCCTTGCCGTGGTTTGTAAGCCCTGATCGCGCTGAGCATGCCCAAAGGGCCACCTGCTCACTGGCCCCTGGCCCCTGGTGTGCAGGTGAGGTTGGTTTGTTGGCTAGCTCTCCCCCCCTCTCCTCCCCCCCGCCCTCCAGTGCATGGCTCTGTCAGCGCCATCCAGGCCTGTGACAGTGGTTCGCCATGAGCAGGTCTCCCTCCCTCTCTGTGCGGTTAATGACTGCTCACTGTCTGTCCCTGGGGCCCTGATTGGCTGGAGTTTGAGAGGCGGCTCGTCAGTAAGCAAGGGACATCTTTTAAAGTTGCCAGGGATAGGGATGCCAGGGTGCCAAGTGATTGCTAGCAAGAGTCTGTTACTCCACAAAACAATGCAGCTTGGCCCTAGAGTCTGAGCTGTGGCGGCAGGTTGGGGGTCACCCGATTTTGTGAGGTCCCTTTGTAACTCTTCACAGTCAGCCTGGGACTTAACTATCTGGAGTAGTTTTGTATCGCCTCCAAATGTTGCCACCTCCCTGTTTACTCTTTTCTAGATCATTTATGAAAATATTGAATAGGACTGATCCCAGTACAGACCTCTGTGGGCCGCCACTATTTGCCTCTCTCCATTCTGAATAATGACAAACCCCCTCCCCCACACACGCCCCCGGTCTTTTAACCAGTTACTGATCCATGAGGGAAACTTCCCTCTTATCCCATGACTGCTCACTTTGCTTAAGAGCCTTTAGTGAGAGACCTTGTCAAAGGCTTTCTGAAAATCCAAGTACGCTATATCCACTGGATCCCCCTTGTCTACATGTTTGTTGACCCCCCCTCAAAAAACTTCAGTAGATTGGTGAGGCATGATTTCCCTTTCTAAGAGCCATGTTGGCTTTTCCCCACAAATCGTGTTCATCTATGTGTGATAATTCTGTTCTTTACTACAGTTTCAACCAATTTGCCTGGCACAGAAGTTAGGCTTACTGGTCTGTAGTTGCTAGGGTGAAAAATTGGGACAGGGGGTGGGGGGTAATAGGAGCCTATATAAGAAAAAGACCCCAAAATTGGGACTATCCCTATAAAATCGGGACGCCTGGTCACCCTAGTAGTTGCTGGAATCACCTCTGGAGCCTTTTTTAAAAAATTGGTGTCACGGTAGCTACCCTCCAGTCATCTGGTACAGAAACTGATTTAAATGATAGGTTCATACCACAGCTAGCCATTCCGCAATTTCATATTTGAGTTCCTTGAGAACTCTTGGGTAAATACCATCGAGTCCTGGTGACTTATTTCTGTTTAATGTATCAGTTGTTCCAAACTTTCTCCACTGACACCTCAATCTGGGACAGTTCCTCAGATTTGTCACCTAAAAAGACTGGCTCAGGTGGGGAATCTCCCTCAGCCTCTGCAGTGAAGAGTGATGTAAATAATTCGTTTACCTTCTCAGCAATGGCTTTGTCTTCCTGGAGTGCTCCTTTAGCACCGCCAATGGCCAGTGGCCCCACTCATTGTTTGGCAGCCTTCCTGCATCTGATGTACTTGACAATGAAAAAAATGTTTAGTTTTTGACTCTTTGGCTAGTTGCTCTTCCAATTCTTTTTTGTCCTGCCCAATTATGTTTACCCTTGTCATGCCGGAGTTTATGCTCCTTTCTATTTTCCTCAGTAAGATTTAACTTCCAATTTTTAATACACCCTAAAGGATGTCTTTTTGCCTCTGACAACTTGCTTGACTTTGTTTAGCCATGATGGCACTTTTTTGGTCCTCTCACTATGTTTTTTTAATTAGGAGTATACATTTAATTTGAGCCTTTGTTATGGTGTCTTTAAAAAGTTTCCATGCAGCTTGCAGGCATGGCACTTTTGTGACTGTATCTTTTAAATTTCGGTTTAACTAGCTTCCTCCTTTTTTTTTTCTTTTTCTAAAGTAAACTTTCTGAAGTGAAATGCTACTGCGGGGGGCTTCTTCAGTATTTTCTCCCCCACAGGGATGTGAAATGTAATTACGTTATGGTTGCTGTTACTGATGGCTCAGCTATATTCACCTCTTGGACCAGATCCTGTGCACCACTTAAAACTAAATCAAGAATTGCCTCTCCCCTTGTGGGTTCCAGGATTAGCTGCTCCAAGAAAACCTCATTAATTATCTCTGCATCCCATCCTGAGGTGACATGTACCCGATCAATATGGAGATAGTAATAATGGGGGATTTCAGCTGAGTTTTCTAGTTTTATAGCCTCTCCAATCTCCAGGAGCATTTCACCATCCCCATCCTGGTCAGTAGTGTATTCCATCTGCTATATTCTTCTTATTCAAGCATGGAATTTCTATCCATAGAGATTCTATGGTACAATTTGATTCATTTAAGATTTGTATTCTATTGGACTCTGTTTTCTCCCCCCCCCCCACTTAGTGCTACTCCCCAACCAGCACAACCCATTCTGTCGTTCCTATATATTTTGTACCCTGGTATTACCGTGTCCCATTGATTATCCTCATTCCACCAAGTTCTTGTGATGCCTGTTGTATCAAATCCTCACTTAATACCAGGGCCTCAAGTTCACCCATTGTAGAATGTAGAGTTCTTGCATTTGTATATGAGCACTTACAGAATGTGTCACTTTTTAGCGGTCTGCCATTATGTGATGTAATTAAATGGGACTCTTTTTCATTTGATTTTTCTCTTCAGTTCCTGTCTGTACTTTATCAACTTCCATCCTCTCCTCCTTACTAGCATATAGAGATCCTCTTTAACAAATCCTTCTCTAAGGAATGTGTCTGTCTGAATCACATGCTCTTCCACACCTGTCGGCTTCCCCCAGCCCTCAGTTTAGAAACTTCTCTGACCTTTTTAATGTGACATGCCAGCAGTCTGGTTCCATTTTGTTTTAGGTGGAGCCCATCCCTCCTGAACACGCTCCTCCTTTCCCAAAAGGTTAGTGGTGACCAGATGCTCAACACAATTAATATTATCAACCAGGGAGAAGCAACACATTCCCTAATAGGGAAAGAACGGGGTTACAGATAATTTGGGTAAGTTAAATGTATTCAAGTCAACAGAGTCTGATGAAATTCATCTTAGGGTACTTAAGGGAACCAGTTGACGCAATCTCAAAACCATTAGCAATTATTTTTGAGGGTGGGTGAGCCCTCAGAGGACTGAAGAAGGGCAAAGATAGTACCTACCTTTAAAAAGGGAAGAAAGAGAACCCAGGGAACTACAGACCAATCAGCCTAACTTCAATACCTGGAAAAATACTGGAACAAATGATTAAACAATCAGTTTGTAAACCCCATAAGATTAAGAAGGTTGCAAGGAATAGCCAGCATGGCTTTGTCAAGAAAAATTATGCCAAACCAACCTAATTTCCTTCTTTGACAAGGTTAATGGCCTAGTGGATGGGGGGAAGCAGTAGACATGGTACGACTTAATTTTTCTTTTTTTAAAGGCTTTTGACAGAATCCTACATGCCATTCTCATAAGGAAACTAGGGAAAAGTGGCATAGATGAAATTACTATAAGGTGGGTGGACAATCGGTTGAAAGACCATACTCCAAGAGTAGTCCTCAATGGTTCGTTGACAAACTGGGAGAATATATCTAGTGGGGTTCCACAGGGGTCAGTCCTGGGTCTGGTACTAGTCAATATCTTAATTCATGACCTGGATAATAGAGTGGAGAGTATGCTTATAAAATTTGCAAGTGACACCAAACTGGGAGGGGTTGCAAGCACTTTAGAAGACAGGATTAAAATTCAAAATTACCTTGACAAATTAGAGAATTGGTCTGAATTTAACAAGATGAAATTCAGTCAAGACAAGTGCAAAGTACTACACTTAGGAAGGAAAAATTAAATGCCCAACTACAAAATGGGGCATAACAGTCTAGGTGGCAATACTGCAGAAAAGGATCTGGGAGTTGTGGATCACAAATTGAATACGAGTTGTCAAGGTGATGCAGTTGCAAAAATGGCTTATTTTCCAGGGGGTATGAACAGGAATATAATCTGTAAGACATGGGAGGTAATTGTCCTGTTCTACTCGGCACTGGTGAGGCCTCAGCTGGAGCACTGTCCAATGCGGAGCACCACACTTTAGGAAAGATGTTGCTAAACTAGAGAGCGTCCCGAGGAGAGCAATAAAAATGATGAAAGGGTTAGAAAACCTGACCTCTGGCTATGGGTGAAGGGGGACCTGATAAGTCTTCAGATATGTTAAGGGCTGCTATAAAGAGGATGGTGACCAATTGTTCTCCATGTCCACTGAAAGGTAGGTCAAGAAATAATGAGCTTAATCTGCAACAAGGGAGATTTGTTACACGTTAGGAAAAGCTTTCTAACAATACAGACAGTTAAGTTCTGGAACAGGCTTCCAAAGGAGATGGTGGAATCCCCTGTCATTAGAGGTTTTTAAGAACAGGTTGGACAAACAACTCTCTCAGGATGGTCTAGGTTTACTTGGTCCATCCTCGGTGCAGGGGGCTGGACTTTATGACCTCTTGAGGTCCCTCCATTGTACCTTTTCCCCTCCCGCGTGGCTTACTTTGTGTTTATTGACATTGAACTTAACTTGGCATCACGTTGCCCATCGCCCAGCAGGGTTAGGTCTCTCAAGTTGCTCACACCTCTCTCTGGTCCTGACCTAAGTTCCCTCTAAACCGCACAGCCATGCAGCTGCCTATGAAGCCCGACGCAGGGGTGTGGCGGGGAGAGGCGCCCCTCCTCACTAGCCCCAGAGCGCACCGGCCGCGGGAGAGGCCCCAGTGTGGACCTGCCGGGGGAGAGGCGTCCCTCCCTTGGCCTGGCTCAGGCCCGCCGGAGCTGCCGGTGGAGAGGAGCCCCTCCTTCAGCCTGGCCCCAGCATGGACCAGCAGGGGGGAGGAACCCCTCCTTCAGCCCAGCCCAGGTACTTCTCCCCAGCCTGAGATGCTGGTGCGAGAGAGGACTCGTGGGAGTCCTCTCTCTCTCTCCCTACCTCAGCCCTGGGGCAGCCTGCACCCCAAACCCCTCATCCCTGCCCCCCCACACACACATTCCCAACCCTCTACCCCAACCCTGAGCCCCCTCCCGCACACCAAACCGCTCATCCCTGACCCCACCCCAGAGCCTGCGCCCCAGCCCTGAGTCCCCTCCCACACTCCGAACCCCTCGGCCCCACCCCCACCACATGAATTTTGTTATGTGCACCAATATGAAGGTGATGTGTCACACATAACAAAATTCATTCTGCACATGGATGTAAAAAATTAGAGGGAACATTGGTCCCGACTAACCTAGATCATTTTGTGTCTGCTGCAGACTTTGCTACGCCATTGCTCGTGGAGTCTACGGCCAGAAGGGACCACGGGGATCCTCTAGTCTGGCCTGCTGCAGATCACAGGCATTCACTTTTGTTTGAAGAAAAGCATTTTTTTTTTTTTAAAGAAAAACATCCAACTTTTATTTTAAAATTGCCAGTGGTAGAGGATCCACCACAACCCTTGATGTGTTATTCCAGTGGCTAATAACCAGTGTTACAATTGTGCCTTGTTTCTAGTCTGTTTGTGTCTGTCAGCTTCCAGCCCCTGGACCTTTGTCCAGCGAAGAGCCCTCTACTACCAGATTTCTGTTTCTTGTGTAGGTTCATAGAGATGCTGATCAAGTCAACTTGCGCTTGGGAAAGCTCCTTGCTAACCCCAGGCAGCTGCTGGCTGGGTCATCTGGTCCCTAGCATTCCTGCCATAGCATGCAGTATAACACACCCACACCTGCCCCCTTTCCAAGGTCACAGGCAAGAGGTGAGGCCTGAAGAGGTGCTTGCAGCTTGGAAGAGCTGCCTGATTGTAGTCTCCTCAGCCCAACATTACTCTTTCTGCAGGGCCTGTACGGAGCCATGATGCCTGGGACAGTCACTGCTGTATCTCCACTCGCCCTTCCTTGCGCTCAGTACAGACGTATGTAGTGGGCCCAATCCTGCGGCTGCTGCAATGGGAACAGCGCATGGCCTGGACAGTGGGAGATGGGCTGGATTAATAATGGCTGTGTTCCTCTGCTGCCGGGCAGCCCCTGGGGCTCTGGGGAAAGCTCCCTGCCCCCATATCCTGAGGGAAAGCGCCAGAGCTTCTCTCGGGGTTTAGGAGCTCCACTCTCCGGCCCTGGGGACCTCCGCAGCCTCTGCAGGGCTGGACACGCTCACCCCGGTTTTCGCCTACGGCCTTGGGCCTCACCCACCAGCCAGAGCATCCGCTCCAGAGCCTGTGCCTGCCCTCTCCCTGCCCGGGAGAAGGCTGCGCCGTTAGCCTCTGCTTCCTGGGTTCCCAGCCAGGGCGCCTCGCAGGCAGGGAGAGGTTTTGCCACAGCGTGAGTGGGACACAGGAGGTAGATGGGTGGCTTGTGGGTAAGAGGGGAGCAGGGATCTGGAGGGGGTTCTGAATGTGTCATTTAGCGCAGAGCCCTCCCGCCAGCTCTGTATTGCGTTGCACTTTTCTCCTCACCTTCTTATTTACGCACTCCCTCTCCGTCGCCCCACAAAGTCACGGGACCTCCTGGTCAACCCCCTTCTGGCCCTAGCGAAACTGGCCAGCTATAAAACCAGAGTGAGGAGGTTGGCCGATGGAGTCTCCTGTGACTGTGGGGCGTATTTCAGGTCCTCCGTTCGTTCACGTATCCGGGCAGAGTTCCTCTGGGTGGCGTCCACTGGCTCCCTTGATGCCTTCGAGGAGGAGTGCGCGTTGTCCGGGGTTCTCTGCTCGGTGTCCCCATCTGGTTCGCTTCGTTTGACCCTTTGACCTCACTCCTGTCCCTGTTCTTTTATTAGTTGTCCCCCATAATTTTTTGGTCTCCAGGTCCTGTGGACCCCCCCTTAGGCTGGGGGGGATCCTTTAGCAGTGGGCTGTTAGCGACTGCAGGCCAAGTGCCCTCTCCACCCCCCCCCCCACAGAACAGAGACTGCAGGCCCTCCATCCCTGCGCCCCATCCCCGGACAGCAGCGGGGCTGGAGGGGGATGCTGCGCTCTCCAAACACATTGATCACCTTGGAGGACACCTAGGGTCAGATCAACAGGCAGCATTAGTGCTAGAATCGATGCCCATGTCCCTGCAGCCTCTGAGGACACGCCTGCTGAGGTATTAATCTGCTGCAAGGTTTATATGATCATTGTGTTGATCTTGGGTGACAAAGGAAGCAGGAGCTGCCTGATGCGACCTCTTTATGCTCAGCACAGGCAGGGACAAAACGTGTTCCTCGTTTCCAGCTCTTCAGTCTCTGGTCTGAGCCTGGAACACCACCCGGGGCCTGTACACAGTAGCCCAGGTGCAGCATTTCCTAGCGCGAGGGTAAATGCTACACAATTCAATCTGCCTGCACGGCCTCACTGGAGCAATAGCATTAACCTCTGCGCTGGAGCCTCTGCAGAAGGTGAAAGGGACGGGCTTTTCTGTTCCCTACCAGAGATTCTGTTCCCAGTGACGCAAAGTCCTGGGCTGCAAGAGTTTATTGAAATGCACATCTAGGGGCAGCTCTCAGCTTGCTGTGGGCGCCTTCACCCTGCATTTCCTGAGGTCTGTGTGATCAAGTGGCTCCTAAAGCAGACGCAGCCCTGTCCCAAAGAGCTTTCTAAGACCAGAAGCACCATGTGAGGGCAACAAACTGCAGGGCTTCTAGGGGAGGGAGGGTATTGGAGCAGATATAACAGTGCGGTTACATAGGCTACTATCACTGACACAACTTTATCCCGGAGCTGGGCGAAAACATAAAATCATTGCTGCTAAGGCTTGCCAATGACACAGTAACTGGTGGGGTGGTGAATAATGATGGGGACAGGTACGTTATACAGAGCCAGCTAGATCTCCGGGTGAGGTCGGCTCACTTGAATATGAGTGTTAATACAGCCAAATCCCAAGTCATAAATTGAATAACGAATGCAGACCACACTTAGATGATGGAGGACAGTAGTTTGCAAAGCATCAACTCTATAAAGGACTTAGGGGTCACAGTAGAACCAATGAACGTAAGTTCCCAGTGGGATGCTGTGACAAAGACAGCACATGTGATCCTTGGTTACATAAGTGGGGGCAATACAGAGCAGAAGTAGGGAGTTACTGCCATTGGATACAACCGTTACTGGATACTATGTCAGTTCTGCTCTCCACACTTCAGAAAGGATGTTGACAAACTGACAAGGGTTCAGAAAAGAGTTACTAAAATAATTTATCATCTAGAAAAAGATGTGTTGTTTACCTTGCCACGACTGGTTCTGTGAGACATTTTGTCCATGTGGATCCCAGTCACGGCGCATGCACCTCATGTGCATGAGATCAGAATCTGGGACTAGCAGTATCTTTTGAGGCCACTCCTGAGCCCTACATGTCCTTCTAGCCCCACTGGCCATGGGCATAAAAAGCAGAATTGTCCCTACAGACTCTCAGCTCTCTCACCAACGCAGAGAACCAGGAGAGATTAACTCCAAAGGCGAGCAAGTCATGGGCTCCAGACAGACATCACTTCTCAAAGAACCACAGTTCCTGCCAGGGAAGTAACCATTCATTCTGTGTCAAAGTCCATGTGGCTCTACTTGTGCCTTGCTAGCAGGTCCCCGATTCACAGGCGGTGGGTGGAGCAGTCCTAGCCATACCTCACTAAATAAGGATTTCAGAACTGCTCTCCCGAATTTGGCTCTGATCTAGAGGCCAGATCCATAATGGTGTGTGAAAGTCTGGGCTG